AAAACAAAAAACAAAAAAACTAGTAGACTTTTTTTTTTTTAGAGTTCAAAAAAAAAAAATAAGGAAAGAAAAAAAGAAAAAAACCAAAAAAACAACCCAAAACTGCTCTCAGAGCCTGGGAACGAAGCCAGCGACGAGGTGCAAGTGGCAGCTCTCCCGCCCGTAGGACTTGCTCGTGCCTGCCCGGGGTGGTCCGTGGGATAGACCCTCTCAAGTGTCCTTCCTCTGAGCCTCCTCCAAAAGGGGTGGTGAGCCTTAGGTGAGGTAGAGTGCCTTGTCCCTTGGCAGCATGCTGTAAGAGAAAGGAGAGGCACAGGGTGAGGCACAGGATCCTGGAGTACACCAGGAGGGGGGTTTGTAATTGGTGTTTATTTGTTATTGTTGCTGCTCTGCAATGAGAACACGTCCATACATTTCTGTGTGGATGACTGAAGTACCTCTGTTATCTGAGTGAAACACTTTCCCCAGCAATTTGAATCAAAATCAAAAGGACAATTCATTACCTGTGTTATCAAAAACGCTTTACTTCTTACTTTCAAATTGATATTTAAGTTACTGTCTTACTCTACTTAAAATAAAGTCAGTCTAGGCTTCATTCCTCTGTGGTCCATATGGCAAGGCTGAAATTGTACATGTGGTTTGCACAGAGGGGGGCAAGGCAGAGGCATGTAAAAGTCACAGAATTACTGAGGTTGGGAAAGCCCTGTGAGATCATCGAGTCCAACCTTCCCCCAGCACTGCCAAGGCCACCACTGCACCATGTCCCCAAGTGCCACATCTACACGTCTTTTAAATCCCTCCAGGGATGGGGACTCCACCACTGCCCTGGGCAGCCCCTTCCAATGCTTGACCCTCCTTTCAGTGAAGAAATTTTCCCTGATATCCAATTTAAACCTCCCCTGGTGCAACTTGAGGCTGTCTCCTCTTGTACCATCACTTGGGAGAAGAGAACAACATCCCCTTGACTACACCCTCCTCTCAGGAAGTTGTAAAGAACAAAAAGGTCCCCACTAAGAGTAAGAGTAAGAGCCTGGTGCAATTTTATTTATTCCTGAATTTCAACAATAAGGGTTACGACAATAAATTCCTTCCTGTGGCTCAACTTTTCCTCTTGCTGGGGCTGCAGGGCAGGATGTCCCTGCAGGTCACACCAGTAGGATACTGGAATGCTGTGCCAGGGATCAGCCCCTGGGCCACCATCCCCTGCTTCATCACACGCTGTCCTTAGGCTGAGCCATGGAGCTTTGGAAAGTGTAAACCTGAATTTGGATAAATTATATCATTCTGACTCTATGTAAGGAGTAGAGGGTCCCAAAAATCTGACTGAGGGGCTTATGCCTGAAGATGCTTGTGAGGAGGATTTACATCTGTTTCATGGCTTAGGAGCATGGGAGCAGCAGACACCCATCTGCTCGATGCTTTTCTCCCCCAGATATGTGAAATGAGAAAAATTAATAATCGAGAAGTGAGGGGAATAAATCTTGGGAGAGAGCAGGATTAGCTGGTCTGAAGAAGACCGTAGGAGGAACAAGGAATCCAAGGAGGCTGCGGAGGAGGGCTGCTGGGACAGCAGCCAGGCTGTGTGCTCTGCACATCCCTGGCACAGCAGATCATGAATTATCACGTTACTGAAACCATGATTTTGATGTCAAGAGATCCAGGTGTGTTCTGGAGGGGGGAAATCAGCTCACAGCACTGAGACAGCCCGCATGGGGCCAGCAAGGTGGGCAGAGAGGCACCACTGCTCCCTTCCCTGCCTGTGCCATCTGGCATTTCAACCCCCTGGCCACTCCAACTTGCCATCAGCAGTGTCCTACAAGGGAGACCAGATGCTCTTTTTTTTCATGGAATAGTAGGGAGAGGAGTGACTGAAACCCCTCTCCCCTGGCTGATGTCCTGTGTGGGTTTGGCTCTGAAATCCAGGCATTTTACTGGGGTTTATTGCCTACACATTTGTGAGGGAAACATCACTGGCTCCATAAGGACATCTTGGCCTTAAAAAGTGATGAAGAACATTGCAAAGCCTTGGGAGATTCTGGTGTGGGTGTGCTGGTGAGTGGAATAACAGGGAAGGGGCCGTCAGCAAGGCAGTGCTGTTGTTGACAGAGCTGCCTCGTGACAGTGAAGAGCCTGCCCTTTGCTAATCTCCACATTTTATAATCTGCATTTAAAATGCAGAGTCTTCCCTACTGCACTCAGCCAAGATTTAATGCCACCGAGCAGCAGCAAGGTATTCCAGTACTAAAACTTCATTAATTTTACAAAACATGCTACAGTACATTTCCCAGTTCATTACAAAGTATTAACATAAATAATTGAATCCAAACTAAGTGCAGTTGTGATGGGTTATCCTAGCCTTTTTATAGTGTTTGCTCATTTAGCTTCTGGTTTGGAAAATTCCCCCATTTGGAGAGGATCACTTTGTCATTAGCAGGAATTAGGGAGGTTATAAATGTCTGGATGGAGTGGCTGTACATGTTTTTTTTTGTGTCTGGACAAGGCATAATGGAGAGTGTCCTGTCTTTTAGTCCAAAGTAGTGGGAAGAGGGGAGAAAGGTCGAAGGATGATACACAAAAAGAACCTAATCCGTGCCTTGCAAATGAGAGGAAGGACAAGAAGAGATGAATACAGTTCAGTGTTTTTCCAAAAATACCTAAATGTGAGGAGAAAAACGTAAATCATAGAATCACAGAATGTCCTAGGATGGAAAGGACCCAGCCACCGAAGGTGTGAAAAGAGTTGTAATCAGAACACAAGGCAGAAAAAATAAGCGAGGTGCTTCAAGGAAATAAGATTTAATTAAGGAATTGAGAAAGATTTGCACACGATTGTAAACCAAGCTGCACTTCCGACAGAGGTGAGCCAGTTCCCTCAGAGAAAGTCACTGCAAAACAGAGGGATTCAGTGCCTGGGAAAGAGCAAGTGCCAGAATCAGGCTGTCGGGTGAGGGAGACAGGGGACTATGAAAGGAGTTTGTGATATGATGGCAAAAAAGCAATAAAATTGTATGCTGCAGTTACTTGTGGGAAGTGACAGTCACACACCAAGCAGGAGCTGAGAAATGCTACCCGTGTCTTTGCTCACAATCTAGGACAGCTTGGGCTTCAGCCCAGAAAGAGCCAGGAAAATTGGATGGAAGTCAGTAAGGAAAAAGTCATTAAGAATGGGGAAAGCTAAGAAACATTTAAAACTCTCTCTCTCTCTCTCTCCCTAACATGGCTGAGTTATGAATTAAGGAGTGTCTGCTCACAGGATCCCAGAATCTGAGGGGCATGTGGGAAGAAGTGTCATTTAATGGCATTTTAAATAGCACAGATAGGCTGGGAAACAAAAATCCCTACAGCAGTTCCCTTATTAATGGAGAAGGACGGAGAGAAAGACAACCTTGTCAGTTTTCCAGAAGTTGTCTGGGTGACAAACACAAAAGAAAATGAGGACTGGGAGGTTTTCACCCCAGCTAACCCAGTGCCAACACATGTTGGAAGCTAAAGAAATATCAAGGTTAGACATGAAATAAAAATCATAACCCAGAGAGCAGGACAGGGCTGTCTGTGTGCTGGGGAGGGTGGAACCATCCTCTCTCTCAGGAATCTGGGACTCTACAGCTCACTCACATCCCATCAGTGAATAATCCCTTTTCTTTCCAGTCAGCAGCTGATTTTGCTCCTCAGAGTGTTGCTTTAATTGCAATTAGGCTCAAGGCACTTTCGAGGTTGAAATGGGCAATTACACGATCCAGAGGCTTCCCGGTTATACCCAAAACAGCACTGACAGATCAAACCCAGCGAGGCCTGCCTTCCCTTCATCACTGCTGTGCCCAGGTCCTGCTGGTGGCTGGACCCACCCAGCTCATGGCAAGGTGCCACTGAGGAGCCCAAGGGCAGCTTTGAACATTGGGTGGAAACTGGTACAAAGTACATCAGAGAAAGCAGCACAGAAGGAAAGTCTTTGAATCATAGAACGGTTTGGGTTGGAAGGGACCTCAAAGCTCATCTTGTTTCACCCCCCTGCCAAGGGCAGGGACACCTTCCACCAGACCAGGTTGCTCTGAGCCCTGTCCAACCTGGCCTTGGACATTTCCAGGGATGGGGCATCCTTAACAGCCAGTATGATATTTTTCAGTGCACTAAGCACTCTCTGCAGTACTGATCTATATCCATCTGAGTTCCTTGGTATAATCTACTCTAATAATTATCTGGAAGTCTCTGCATAATCTGTTTGGGTTTAGAATGATTTTTCTTTTCCAGGAAGCTGCGATAAACCCATGAAATTTGATATTTCTGCTGTGACAAAGGCATGAAATGCATGAGCTTTGATCATGAATTGCATGGGCCCTCTGCTTACAATGCAGCACTCCAGCCAGATGTCACAGAGCTTGTTTTAGCAACATAAAACTCAGTCCTGACTGCTATGGGAACATTACACCCGTTTCTAGAGCACCCTGGGCTTTCTGCACGGGGCCCAGGCAGTGGGATTTGCAGAGGGAATCAAGTATTTTCCCAGCTGATCCCCTAAGAAATGACGTTTATTTCTAGGGGGGCTCATTTCTGTGGGAGTTGCTCAGCACCTCCGGAAATTGAGATCCACAACCCACCAAGCACCTTTAGCATTTTGCCAACAACATTTAAAGTGACTTTTATAATCAAGTCCTGAACATGCTCCTTCCTTCAGGTTGTCTGCAGAGGCTTCGGGAAGGACCATGCAAAGGTCACTGTCAGCGCCCACGTCGCTGAGCCCCCTCGGGCAGGCAGACAGCAGAGATATTCTAATGGATCAGCCAGTTATTTATCTCCCTGAAAGAAATAAATGTCTGTACAGTCTGTACAGCCCAGCAATTGTAAGTGCTCTGCTGGCACAGACAGGAGCTGTGCTCTGAAAAGCCTGGGAGCTGGCTATTATCTCCTCTGAAAGCACCGTGTTCCAGTACTTCTAGCGAATCAAACAATACTCCAAAGGTACCCAGCCTCCTTCCCAACCTGCTCCCCCTGCAAACCCCAGGCCTGTTTCACAGAGCACAATAGAATCTCCAAACTATTAAAGCTGAGCCAAGAGCAGTGGATTAGGCAGTGGTTGGAAATGGCCTCCACACCCTCCCTGTTCCCCAGCCTTAACACCATCCCGAGGTTTTTATTTACTGAGGAATTCATGCAGCACTGAAGGGACCTTCATGTTGGCACACTCATGCCAGAGCTTGTAGGGCATAAGGGAGAGGATCTGTGTAGATGTCTGTGGACCTACTGGTAGAGACAATTATGGGAAGTTGTGGCCTCAGGGATAAGAGCAATCGCTTTAGGAACAGACAGATGCTGCTTAACATGGAACCACAGAATGGTTGGGGCTGGAAGGGACCTTTAAATCTCATCTCATTCCAAACCCTGCCATGGGCAGGGACACCTTCCACTATCTCAGGTTGCTCCAAGCTCTGTCCAACCTGGCCTTGGACATTTCCAGGGATGGGGCAGCCACAGCTTCTCTGGGCAACCTGTGCCAGGGCCTCCTCACCCTCACAGAGAAGGATTTCTTCCCTATATCCAATCTAAATCTCTCCTTTTTTAGTTTAAAACTGTTCCCCCATGTCCTATCACTTTCTAGCCATGTAAAAAGTAGTTCTCCCTCTTTTTTATAAGCTCCCTTTAAATACTGGAAGGCCTCAATGAGGTCTCCCTGGCCTTATGGACAGGGCCACCTTCAAACCTCCAGGGACCCTGTTTGGGAGACTGGGCTTCCCTGGTCTGCTCCAGAAGGAAATGTGTCCAACCCCTCTGTTACTAATTGGATGGAAATTAAAAAAAAGAGAAATCTCTTCATGTCCAGTGAAGAATTTATCCATGATTTTTAAGCTGCCTGCTTCCAGGTGAGCCTACAGAGGCAAGGAAGCCTTGAACTTCCCTGACCATAACCAGCCTACCCTCTTGCTGTACATTTTAGGGCAGATTCCCAGCTCTTGTCCACTGTCACAGCTCAGATCACAGGAACTGCATTAGCAATGGGCTGTTTTGTCTACTGGCCTGCAGTGGTTGACCCCACACTCTCTGCTGGGGTAGTCGTTGTCCCACTCAGTGCTTCCTGGAGGGTTTGATGCGCCGGGCGAACGGGGTCCAACACTGTTCTGAAACTCAGACGAAATATGGGAGAAGTCCTGCAGAGTGGAGAGGAAAGGGAGGGTTACAGGAGCATCCAGAGTAGATCTAATAGCAGTGCACAAACACATTTACATGCATTGTCCCTAAAATGTGCAGGGGGAGCCCCAGGGACAGAGGGAGCAGTCCAGGCCCATGACCCCAAACCACCACGGTGGGACCTGTGAGTTCTTGCAAACAACTGTCAATGCAGCAACACGTTTTACATCCCTCTTCCCTGCTTGTGTTTGTCAGGACCTCCCTTCTGGGTGGGAGGGAATGGCTGTGGAAAGTGGGAATGACTGCCACTGCTGGCACTTCAACAAGGACACTGTGGGGCTGCTTCAGCTGAAAGTTGATCAGCTTTCCCCATTTTTTGGGGGTGGCTTTAATTAGTTAAAATTAGGCAATGTATATAAACCAGAGTCATGGTAGGCACCTGACCAAGAACATGATTTTCTCCAAAATAGCCCAATTAGGGCAATGTGGGTTTTCTTTTTTTTTAACTTAAAATTTTTATTCACAAATTTATGTGGAACGAAGTTTCACAAAATGCTGCCCTCAGTGACAACAACTACCCCAACTAAAGTGACTGTGAGGATCCCCTTTTACGCTCTTTTCTGGGCACAAGCTATCACCAAATTACAGAAGTCACTTTTGGTTGTGCAGAGCTAAAGCTCAACCCCTGTGCTGGAGGAGTCACAGAATCATGGAATTACTGAGGTTGGAAAAGACCTCCAAGATCACTGAGTCCATCCATTAACCCAGCACTGCCAAGGCCACCCTTAATTAAACTGTGTCCCCAAGTGCCACATTTACACATTTTCTGAGCACTTCTAGGGACGGTGATTCCACTACTTCTCTGGGCAGCTGTTCCAGGGATCACCCTTTCAACGAAGAAATCTTCCCTAATACCCACCCTAAACCTCCCCTGGTGCAACTTGAGGCCGTTTCCACTTGTCCTACTGCTGGTTACTTGGGAGCAGAGCCTGACCCAACCCCCTGGCTCCCTCCTCCTGTCAGGGAGTTGCAGAGCCAGAAGGTCTCCCCTGAGCCTCCTTTT